TTCTCCGTGCCAGGGGTCTTGTGCTTTGTCTGTTGCCATCAGATTTCTGAGGCTCTGGTACAATGAGCTGCTTGTCAGGCCAGGCACGACTGCAGTAGCAGCAAATTCAAAAGGCAGGAAGCGTCCGCAGGAGCGGTCTGTAAAGAATCTGAGCCCGTGGAGTCGCTGGGTTGAACCTCCCGCTGGCTGCTGTGCCGATTCCCATCTTGGGGGTGCTTGGTAGTGCAGTCACATCATCCTTGGCAGCGGGCAGCTCCCGAGCACGCAGGGTTTCCCTGCTTGGGATGCTCGCTGGAGCAGCAATGCTGCAGACCCTTTGGCATTTTCTGTGTAGCTTCCTTCCCAGGGCCATATGCCAAGGTCCTGCAGATGAAAAAGAGGATGAGGCCAGAAACACCACTCCACTTCCAGGCCCCAGGGAGAAAGGGCCAAAGATGTTGGGGAAGCCACAGGACAGAGGGACTGATCCCACTGAAAGGAGACCAACTATCCTACTGGTGGTTGGACCCGCAGAGCATTTTCCAAAGGTAACGGGATATCCAGGGGCCTGAGGAGGGGTTGGCGCACATGACAGCGGAGTGTGTGGTCTGCCGGGAGTAGGGGTGTTGCAGGTGGAGTGTGTGAGTAGCTGGGGGGAGCGTGTGTGTGTATTTGGGGAGGGGGGAGAGGAACAGGAAAAGGGAGCAGGGTCCAACGCGTGTGCTTGCTAGAAAGGAAGCGTGGGGGGACCAGGGGAATGACTGTGAAGAGAGCAGGGGATCTAACCTTTCAGACATGATGTTCAAAGAAAGGAAAAAATGTTGTTTAGGGGCAAGGGCGAATACAGGGGTCTCGAAGGTTCCTGGGCAACTTGTAAGAAGCATGGCTGAGAGGGCAGGGAATGATAAAGCAGGTTATGGTGTGTCCCACCCCTGCACTGGAGACTGGCAAAGGATCAAATAGGTCCTAAAATGTTCCAGAGTCAGTCGCTGGTAATTTGGCAAGCCTCTGGATAAACTAGCGTGTTTTGAGCAAATGAGTAACTGGTGGTATTATTTGAATGGCAGAGCCCGGAAGAGAGTAAAGGCTGTCCCTGGGGAGCGGGTGGCATAAGGGAGAGACGAAAATCTGTGTGAGGATGGGAACTTCCCGGGGGGGTGGGAGAGCAGGGAGGTGGTGGGTGCGCACAATTGGCAGAGAATAAATGGTGAGGCTTTGTCTGGGGGGAGGCAAACAAAAGCTGCTTACTTTAGTGCCTGGGCTCCTAGCACAGTGCTGGCTGACCGCAATTCTCGTTTATTTTTGATGGGGAGGGAATGCCGTCCATCTCTCCTGAGGATGGTGCAGTCAGCTCTGACTACATGTGGTTTAAAACCAAGGGTGTGATCTGGGATTAGGAGAGAAGGAGTCCGGCAAGTGGTGGGAGCTTGGGATAACACTGAATGGCTGCAGCTGGGGCAGGGGTGCATGACTTGCAGGATCCAGCTTATTTGACAGGGAATCAGGCATGGTTGATGCTGTAAGCTTTCTCTCTAAAATGGGGGACGAACAGGTTTAAGTTGTAGAGGGGATTAAGTATCTGTTCTGCTGCCGTTTTGAATGGAAACGGCAGGGTGGCATTTTGCATTCTGGGGAGCAGAAGCCACTCCCTGCTTGAATCAGACTGAAAAATCTGCAGGGACTTTTTGCCTTCATCGCTATCGTTAGCAGTTAGCTCCGTGCATCCCCTTCAAAAAGAGGAGCGTGCGCATTTTGAGAAGAGGAGGACTTTTGTGCACAGAGGTTGAAGAAGGACAGAGGCTCAGAACTGAAGGAAATTGTGATGAAAACCTTGAAAGTGTAGGGCTGAAAATCTCTGATGTCTTCCAGGGAACAATAGTCCCTCAGTCAGGGAGAGAGTCCATCTGTTCACACCTGCAAATGAAGCTTTCTCTGAAAGCTGATACCAATCTCCTCTTTCCTGTGTGACCGTGGGAAGTTTTGCTGCATAGGAACCCTAAAATTGGCTAATGGAGAAATACCTAGAGGATAAGGATGTGGTAAAATGGAATTATTGCAGCTTAGGGAGTAACTGCCCATCTGCTAGGAGGTTGTGACTATGTAATTTTAGCCTGCCCTGATTGTAAAGTAAAACACGGTGTAAAGCTCTTCTGTTGAGGATTATGCAGATATGTTTTTACCTTGCAGTTCAGGCCGGCTAATACTGCATCCAGCCATTGTGGCTCAGCTGATGGACAGTAACTTGTTAAGCTGCAGTGACTTGTTTGTGCTTCGTCAGATATCTGTGTTCTAATTGCCTGTCTGAAGAAGAAGTGTTGCAAAAAGTCTTGTACAGCCTTAGGGATAGATTATAAACCACTGTGAGCAAACACTGTTATTTGGTATTTAAAGGAAAATGTGAGGGGGACACAGCTTTTGTTCTCTGCCACTGATTGTGACCTTGGGAGAAGTCCCTTGACTGGTATGCCACTTTGTTTTGTAAGAACACCTGTAACTACCTATCTGCTAAAAAACCACGCAAAATATCATGCCCGGTACTGGGGTTATTGTATGGAATTGACATGTATCGATAAACTTGACCAGAGGTGCTTCCTAGCCCTAGCTCTTCAGTCTTCGCTTTGCCGTTGGCGTGTTTCTGCTCAGATCCTTGCTTGAAGGCAACGATTTCAACATGAGGCTGTTTCTGCAAATGTGGGAGAAAATACCGATTGCAAATGTGATGCCTTGGCCCCTGGGTGTTTGTACACGGGAGAGAGGTATGATCTGCCCCTGATGTCACCATCTGGACTTGTAACTTTGGATCTGTGTGTTGTCAGCGGAACAGGCTGCCTTTCCTGGTTACCTTTGTGTCAAATACCACGTAGTGGTGTTGTCTGCCTTCCCTGTTCCCTGTCCTTCCCCTTGCACAGCCTTGGCTGGCTGCAGCTCTTTACTCTGCTGGGGTCTCTTAAATGATTAACTCCTCTCCTTCATACACTTTACACT